GTGGGGATACTTTTTATCAAATAAATACAATACTAAATTAATTTTATCTTTTATTTTTTTATATAATCTGATAATTTGGGCAATGATCTTAACCTTGTTTCTGCGCGAGTTCCTTTGCCTTAGCTTTTTCTAATTTCGCTATCCTTGCCGCAGATTTGCTTCCCAATAAACCACCGCCCCAGTGACGCCTGATTTCATCATATCGATCATTGAAGTTCGTCTTAATGGCTTCAACGATCTTCGCGAAGTTGGCCCTATCGCCAGAATCCACCTAAAATGATAATATACTTTAATAAAACTGAAATAAAAGAGAAAAATCAGATTTTCGTAAATGTATATCAGATATATTTTAATTTCATAATGTATCATTGGATTGGCTCTCGAGTACTCATCATAAAAATAATATAGTTTAATTAAATGCAAATTAAAACAAAAGTATAAGAATTGGATACAATTACGTACTTGAGTAAGAGCAACTGTTGAACAGGTCTTACGTCTAACTAGACGTCCCAAACGAGCCTTGCCTTTAACAATACAATATGGTACACCCATTTTACGACACAAGGCAGGAAGGAATAATACGATCTATATCAATAAAGAGAAAATTGATTAGGTTGGTACATACAATTTCTTACAAATATACATATATAGTAATGTAAGACAGTACTCAGGTGTGTCATATATCATTCCTTGAATATAAATGTTAAAAACATTTATATTCTCAGGTGAAGAAATTCATGCATCACAGTTAAATAGAATAAAAATTATAAATCTACTATAAATTAGACAGATGGATAACTAACCTCAATAGGATCAACATCATGAGCTATAACAACTAGTTGAGCTTTCTTCTGCTCCACTAGTGTAGTCACCGTGTTGGTTCCACTGCGAATGACATTTGGTTTTTTCGTTGGCGTATCTTCCTTCTTTGCAATCTTTTGTTCAGCTCGCGCCTTCAACCTTGCATTCTTCATGGCTGCTGATTCAGGGCGGTATTTTTCTAATACCTTAAATAACTGTGTAGCTATAATATAAGAACAATATTGTATTATATTTTTTCCATATGTATATGAATAGGAAGATATATGTATAGGATTAAAAAATTCTTTAAATTATACATGGAATATACATCTTACCGGTTTGTTTATCCAATGTTTGTGTGAATTGGTTTATCGTCGGAGGTACTTTCAACCTCTTTTGCAACACAGATCTTTGGCGTTGAATACGGATGTACTTGGGCCATCTTACAAAGCGACTGAGATCACGAGCCGGTTGAATGTCCTGGCCTAAATTTTAATGGAATTTCACAGTACGTGTGACTATTCTATATAGATTATAAAGTGCAATATAACTCTATTTATTCAAATTTATCAGGGAATAAAATAGTTCCAATAATCGAAAGAGATTTAAATAATAGAGATTAACTTGCTTTCCCTTTTACCAATACTTATAATTCTAATAATAGGAAACTGAAATTTAGAAAACTGAAATTGAACATGTTCTGAATTTATCTTTATTTAATTTACATTAGTGAATGCAGATAAACAGAATTCTACTAGTATTAATCAGAAAAATTATACTGACTTACCAATGCCAAAGTTACGTGTTCGTTTTTCAAAGAGTGGATTGGTCACTTTCTTCGGTTCAACCTTTTTGACTGCTAATGGTGCAGCAGCTACCTTTTTCCCAACCTTCTTCTTAGGCTGAAATTATGAAAGAAAATAGAAATAAACATTAATTTTCATGTGTAATATAATAGACTTTTAATACATTTCTTTGTAATATATTCATGTAATTTTAATGAAATTTGTAGAATTAAATTAGAAATATTTTTATGCAAGAAATATCTTTTAAGAATCTAATGATTTAATCTCTTTTATCTCATGAAAATTATGCATTTATGGCTGAACGCTACTCTCATTTTTTACCGAGATCTACGAAATTACTTTGTATAAAATTAGGTTATAAAATGTTAAATTGATGTCACGTGAATGATTTACTTGAACGTTGTATCCAGAAATACCATTTTTTCTGCAAAAGTAAGATTTCAGAGGACCGCAATTATCACATTACATAATTACTGAACTAATTGACTGTGGAATGAAAACATATTTTTGAGTTACACGCTGGAGAACATGCTCGAGATTCGAACCAATTCAAACATGGATATTCGACGCAGCCGATGCCGCTTAACAAAAATATTATTCGCGCACGATGATTCGATAATCTTACCTTTTTCTGAACCATTTTTTTAACTAGAAATCCAAAGGATTTCTGTAAATTTTACCGAATAAAAACGCGGTATCTCACTAAACGCGACGCAAAGTACGGCGTCGACACCGTAAAGAGGGGTGTCAAACTGCAGCGCCACCGAAGTGACGCCATATTGATACTCGTCATTCTGCAGTGTTGGCAATTTGGTGGTTTCCCACCAGTTTAATGATTTTCGAAGATGTTTAGTTTAAATTTTTTATTAATTAATTTCGGCGATTTTGACAGCTAAAAAGAATAAATCTGAGGGTCGATTCTGTATCTTGAAACAAGGTGAAAATTACAAAAGTTAGCAAATTTATTGGGTGTTGACCAATGAAATTATCAGTATTCTAGTAAATTAGTTCACTTTTATCATTTTCTCCTCGTTTCAAGATACAGAATTGATCCCCAGAATCGATTCTCTGGATATAAATCGTGAAACTTTCCATCTTAGGATGGAAAGTAAAAAGTGAAAAATTCTTTCTCCATTAATTTCAATGGTAAAAATTTTCTTTGATTGAGGGTATGGTCAACATGATGTTGTAAATGTTTTGAAATGTTTTTTAATTGGTCAGTTTGTAAAATTCTTTCTTCTAATTGGTCCATCAAAGCTTCAAAGCATTTGTAACGAGACTTTGACCACAGCCTGATACTCGGAACAAATCACTGTAACTTCAAAACATAATGGTGGTTTTAAACCATTGCGAATACTTATTTATTTCAAAAGAATATAAAAAGTTCAATATATTTCCAAAAATATTAATTTTAATAATATTACTATATAATACAATTATTATATAATATTTAATAATTCATATTAAAGATAATAGGCCTTTTAGAAGAAAAGATGCAATTGCACTAAAAACATTGTATATACATATCGCTTTACAACTGTATTTATATCATGTTACAATTATCTCTTAGTATAAACACTTATTTATGAATAAAATTTGTTTAGAAAATTAACTTGTAGTAAATATAATAAAATATATATTGTTAATATGTAAAATTTTGATAAAATATATGATAATCTTATAATAATCTTATTATTGTAGCAAAGTTTATTATAATAAGATATATAATAATATATATTATAATTAATTTTTATCATAAATTTTATATTATTTTTGTTTATATTTCATTGATAATATTGTTCATTTCTCTTGCAAGTTAAGATTAGAAATAGGTTAAGATTATTCCTAACCTCAATTTTCACAAAAAATAACAGGGAATAAACCAGAGTAACTGAAACAGCTGATCTAGTTGATGTCGATTTAAGTCGTAAACCGTTATTAATAATATCTAAAAGAATATCAATAAGTTAATTATGATGATGAAATATTCCATATTATAAAAAATTAGAAAAAGCATTAGGAAAAAAAGTAAAATTGTGTCTAAGGGATAAATATATTCCAAAACAAGAAAAGTTAATTAGTTCAATTTTAATTTAAAAAAAAAAAAATCATTCGAAATCATTGTGAGATTGAGAAATGACATCAAAGATTCCATTTCATGGGAGAAGCTGGATATTATGCGGTAAGCTGAACCTACTGAGACTCAGACATAATCCTAATGGTACATGCAATGCTGCATTGATGTCCGCATTATCACCCGATAGTCCGATGAACGTATTCGATAGGAATGCAAAGCTGTTGCAGCGCGAACGCGCCGCCAAAGATGCTAATGTCCAGTTGTATGACTACATTAAGGATGAGGTGGGCGACAGGCTGGCAGATAGAATATTTGACATCAAACGAAAATTTGGTAGAGTCCTCGATCTGGGATGTGGCCGTGGCCATGTGTCCAAACGGATTCTCAGTGAGTCCGTAGAGGAATTGGTGCTGGCCGACATGAGTCCGAGTCTCCTGCAGCAGGCTGAGATCACAGAGGGTGTAAGGGTCAAGAAGGAAGTCATAGATGAAGAGAATCTGTCCTTTGAGTCTGACAGTTTCGACATGGTGATCAGTTGTCTGAGTCTTCATTGGATCAATGATCTTCCTGGATGTTTCAAGCGTATCAACAGTAGCTTAAAAAATGATGGAGTCTTTATGGCTGCTGTATTTGGTGGTGATACACTTTACGAATTAAGGTAAAGACATAACATTACCAGGTTTAAATCAAAGTTTCTCCAGATTCTATTTGTGTTTATTTGTGGCATTTATTCTGATAATATAGAAGTTCCTTGCAATTAGCTGAATTTGAAAGATACGGTGGGATCTCGCCACACATCTCACCATTCGTGCAAATCAGAGACATTGGATCTTTACTAACAAGAGCGAACTTTACTATGTTGACTATTGATACTGACGAGATAGTCATTGGTTATCCAAGCATGTTCGAGCTTATGTGGGACCTGAAAGGTAGATAACGTTATAAAATATAAAATTCTTTACTAATAATAAATAAATATTTTATAACAGACAATGTAAATATATTATGCAATTTATTATCTAGGAATGGCTGAGAATAATGCAGCTAGAAATCGCAATTTGCATCTGTCGAGAGATACGTTAATTGCAGCCGCATCTATATATAACCAGCTTTACGGAAAAACGAAAGAAGATAACACAGCATTCATTCCTGCTACGTTTCAGATAATATATATGTTGGGATGGAAACCGGATGAGTCTCAACCGAAGCCTCTTAGGAGGGGAACGGGACAAGTATCGCTCAAGGATTTGTACAGACTCGATCAAATCGTTAAAGAAAGCAAAAAGATAAAACTGGATGACGATGATAAATAGCCTGTATTAAATAGTCTTTATTTGATCGCGCCTTGAACAATGTAAATAATACTCTATACCGTATGTAAAAACTTAACATGTATAAACTCTTCCTTTTGAATGATAAAAAATTAACTTATTCAACATTCGCATTTTGTTATTTCTGCCATTGTCATTTCATGATTTCTTTTCCTCGTCCTTGTGAACTACAATACCCTTTTCTATAAGTTCTGGAATTTCTACTGCTAGCCATGGTCCCAACTAAAATAAAGAATTAACAGAATTAGAATTTTTTATGAAAATATCTTGATACAAAAATTTAAAGTTTTTTAAACCTTTGGAGCTGATATGAACTCAATTATAAATTTCTTCATAAAAAGTGTCAATTCAATTTTCTTTATGTTACATTTGCAAATTTTGATTATTTTTATAAATAAAATATATTTAATTCTTTCTCATGTAAGTTATTTTAGTTCCTTGAAATTAATTAATGCCTTTTAATAAAATTAATATATAAATAATTTATATAAATTAAGTAGATTTTATAGACCTAATGTCAGTAATTGCGTTATAGATTTTGTCAAAAGCTCCGAAGGATTAATGCTTTCACTTATTATGCATTCAATTATTAAATATATGCAATCAAGTATTTAGCTTACACCAAGAGCCATTGCATGAGCAATGCCGAACTTGGGAACGTTGCGAGCCCACAATGGTTTGAAGTGATCAGTCAAGCAGATTTTACCACCTCTATACATTTTTGCAGTTTTACCATCTAATTCTGGTAAAGCAATTTCAGGTGCTGTTGTGGGATATGTGATGGGAATCTAGAATTGTTCGAGAAGGAAAAAACTTACTTAAATTTTGTAAATGTTGATTCATTTTTAGGTTTTAATAATTTTAACTTTTTTATTATAATAAATATTAATGAAATATTATTCAAAATTAGAATTCTATATTGGAGGTAATATTTTTTTATTTTTTCTTTAAATAAAAAATACAGTAAGAAAAAAGTAAAAAGTAATGTTACTCACATCAAATTCTATCTCGAATTCATACTTCAGGAAATTCTGAATGTACCAGCATTTGCCAAACCACTTAGTGCCTTCCTTGTTTGATTCCAGCCGGAACCAGTCATTATCTGCTTCTTTGTTATTTTTGACATACTATAGCAATAAAAAAGATTATATAATATGATTAATTATGTATTAATTGGAAGCTTCCTTTGTACTAATTGGATTGCACTTTTAGATTCAGACTATCTAGAGTTTCTAGAGGAATATAGTCTGAGAGAAGAAAACTTCTAGCAGAAATAAGCAATGCAAAATAAAACAATAGCTGTGTTCAGCAGAAAAAACAACTTTGTAACTGTTGTAAAATTCTTTAATATAATTGGTCTTGCCCTTAATTCCTCACAGGATCTAAATATATAAACCAATCATATCCAAGAATTTTATAACTGTTGCAAAGCTGTTTTTTCTGTTGAACACAGCCATTCTGCGAACATAGTTAATAATTATAACTTATCTTACATAAAATATTTTTAGAGTGAATGTGTGTGTATGTGTGCTGCTTAATAATGTCTCGTCACATAAATTAATATTTATAAATTAAATCCTAATATTTATAAATTAAAAATTAAATTAAATTATACTATTTATAAATTAAGCAACAAAAACTATTCCATATGGAAGTGTGACATTTATAAACTTGCAAGTGAAAAAGAATCGTGTTAATTCTCTCACCTTAATCAGAGCTTGATATTCTTCTTTTAATCTCTGCACCCATAAATCCTTGTCTCTGGGGCCAGCTTTCGTTTGCAATAACGGAATATTACTCAAAGTCTTCTTCGTCGTCTCGTCAACCATCTCAATGGATTAACGTTTCACGATTTATCTTGAAGGTTATGGTGCTATTTGCTGTTGTACGATCAGTGTCGCCAACTTAAAACGTTGCACCGCGTTGCACTTCTTTAAGAGTTGTGCGATAACAACTGAGGAAAAAAATAGATAACAATTAATGCGCATCCCTCTAAACAACTATGATAAAAGGTGCAATTTGTTTTCTTGCTTTTACCATCTCATTTTTAGGTTGTTTTTACTGTGCTGTTCGTCTTTCAATCGATCGATTGCATTCGTAAACGGTTGCATCAGTTGCATCCCTGCGATTGCCGCTTAAACAGGCGTGTTGTACCCGGTCGTGTCGTCGTTCCATTTGGTTCCATTTATGCGAAGGCTGTAACAGTGAAAGATACGAAGAAACGAACGCTCGTAAGTGGCGATGAGATGTTAATCGACCATCAGTAGCGTACTTGTGATTCGGAAAAAATTTGAACGCACGATGGCTGATTCGTCTTATGAGAAAGGGTTAACTGAATTGTCGAAAATGAAGGTGAATGTTATAAGTTAATTCCTTGTTTCGCAAATTTACTATTTACTATTTCTCGGTGATATTCTAATCAAGCTTCCTCGTGTCTAGAAAGTCGCTGCTTCCGATTGCTCCCAATTGCTCCCGATCACACTCACTTCCGCTGTCGATTTTAACATACGACGGTCACCGGTGGCCGATATTATTGCTGGCTATAATATATAACGTAAAATAAACAATTACTTAGAATTGTAAGGCTGATTATGTTTGTTTTAATAGTAGAAAAGCGTGACAAAGTGTAGCGGCAAACAAATGGGTATTTTTTCATTTATAGTAGATGATATTCAATTTTATCATATTGTTTTTATTATAAAATACTTCACTTGAAAAAACAGAAAGTCAGTTAAAATATACTTATAAGACTATAACTGTTTAGTAGAGAAATAACTAAGTGTACTAACAAACATATTTTTATTGTATCTAATATTATAATTTTATTTCATTTCTCATTGTTCTTATTATAAAATAATCATTTTATATATATAAACAGAAAGTCAGTTAAAACATGCTTGTAAGATTATTAGCAGTATTCATAATTCATTCTTATTTTAAGGCCTTAATTAATAGTCTTATAGGTTTTCTACAATAAACCTTCACCTATAAATTTTAATGTGTGTTATGTTGATTCTGTAATGAGTCAATAGTTAGTAGTTAAGTCTTATCAGTGAAGTTGACCAATAGCCAACTTATATGACTAACATTGATTAGTCAACTTCACTAATTAAGATTAAGACTTCTATAGACTTATTGTAGAATCAGCATTATTAAGCCATAAGAAATTGATTATAGTTTTTTTACATTCGACTGTAATTGGCTTAAGGCTTAAAGCTTTCGTAATGGCTTATAGAAAAAAAATTTAAATTAAAATATGTTTGTAAAACTGTCTTTGATATAGTAGAAAAGCTAATTAATAATAAAATGTATTGGCAAATAAATGGATGCTTTTTATAGTAATATTATAAATCAATTTTGTGTCTCATTATTCTTGTCTTCTTACAAAAGAATTCTCTTGGTGAATAGAAAATTAGTTAAAATATGCTTGGCAAATGAAATCATGTTGAGTTTCTATTTCAATTATAATATGTATAATTTCCTCTTTGCAGATCACAACTCCCATAATTTTTTTCTCATAATCTCTGTAGTTTTAACTAATTATAATTTTTGCAGTTGAAATAGGATGAAGCATAATTAATAGCCATTTCAAAACATTTTTTAAAATTCTTTTAATTTCTATTACACTGCTGTATCTTTTAGGTAGCTGATCTAAGGGCTGAATTAAAACAACGAGGACTTTCCACTGCAGGCAATAAAAATGAATTGGTAGAAAGACTCCAGTTAGCAATTCACGGAGGTTCTGCTATTGCTATATTTCAGTTTTTTCCTTCAATATAAATATCTTAGGTATATTTTTGTGAAAGAATTATTTATATTTTATAGATGCTGCATTGTCTTTAGATGAAACTACGGAAGAGATTTTAGATGAAGATGAAGTACTTGGTGTAAGTGTACTGTATAGATGTTACAATATTAATAATAATAACTTATAATAATTAATAATAAACTTAAATATTTTATATATATATATATATATATATATATGTATATACATAATATTACATAATATTAACTTTTGTTTTAATACATAAAAATTTTGGATTATTTACAGGATGAAGAAATAGAAGAATTATCAAGTAAGCCAGACTCACAAGAGACCCCTGAGAAGCGAAAATTGTCTATAGATAATATAACCAACAATTCCAATGCAAAAAAGATAGTGCTAAACCGCAAATCTGTATTGGAAGAAATAAAGAATGACCAAATGGAGAAGAAGGAAAATAAAGGAGTGAAAGTGATCGAAAGTGATGACGCCCCGCCGGAGAAAAAAATTATTAAACTATCCGAGCTCAGCACGAAAGAGGTAGCTAAAAATTATATTATTCTTATCCATTAGAATTTAGATCACCAAGTAATAAAATTCATTTGCTTCAAATACACGATGTGAATGCGCTTGTTTTATATCATATTATTTATAATTTATATATTATTTATATATTAATATATAAATGTATTAATTCTTTAATAGAGATTGGAAATGAGAGCTAAGAAATTTGGAATGCCATTATCCGAGGCGGCAAAGAAAGAGGCTAGATTAGCTCGTTTTAACGTAAATAATCAAAATAATAAATCGGCTGCATCTATAAAGACACCTGTGGTAAACAATTTATAATTTACGATGTAATTTATATTATCAAGATAAAATAATTTATAGAATTATTTTATGACAATTATCAATAAATTTTTCATAGCCTACTACATATGAAGTATTGAAAAAACGTGCAGAAAGATTTGGTACCTCAGTATCTACTTTGATGGAGAAGGTAAGCAAAAATAGAGTTAGGATCATGATATACAGTGTAACTTAAATAGAGGCTTTCTACAATAAGCCATTATCTAATCTTTAAGTCTTAAGCCATAAGAAATTTGTTAATCACAATCGAATGTGAGAAGAATAATCGATTATAATTGATTAGTTTTTTTACGATTTAAGACTTAAATTTAGGTAATGGTTTATTGTAAAGCCTTTAAGCAGTAAGGAAATATGTCGGATTTGCCACTGTTATAGTTTTAAGGTCTCTACTATGATTAATCGATTTGTTTATTGCTTATGTTTTACTGCTTAAGTTTTTTTTTTGTGTGTCATGAATCTTTGCAAATACATACATTTTGAATGTATGTATTTTGAAAACTTAGGATGTACTATATGTATTTTGAATGTATTTTGAAAACTTAGGATGTACTATAGCACAGATTTTTCCCACAATATCTATCATATAATTAACTTTTAGAGGAATTAGAAGCGTTATGCGTTACATAAAACTCATTTCCATGTCTCATGGAATGTATTTACATATTCGCCATCAATGAATTGCGACTTTTGCTATTTCTGTTGGAATCTAAAAGAATATAAAAAAACATGATTGGTTATTATGTACTCTATCGAATTTTTTGGTGTTTCATGGAATATATGGAAATTGAGTTCCACATAACAGTAAACGTGTAACGTCTGTAAGTACATTTAAAAAATCATGGGACGACACATTTATTTTTACCAAAATAAATTAACATTAATTGTAATCTCCGTTTAACTTGCTTTTCATTTTTATCTAATTCTTAGAACTAAGAAAAGATAAAAAGTACAATTTTATTATAAAGTATAATTTTATTTTGTATAAAAGTTCGTTACACTAAGATTAAAGTTAATCCACATTGGTAAAAATGGGCATTCGGTGACTTCGACCAAACTTCAATTAAATCAACTTAATCGATAATTAACTCTACCAACAAAAAATTACAGAATTGCTTAACGCAGTCTCTAATATGCAGTTCGTTATTCTTAATCTTTTTTTGATATATTGAAAATAATTCTAATAACTAA